CAACACTAATTTATAAATAAGGAATTGTTAAAGATATCAGAGATTCTCCTATTAGATATCTACAAAACAGTGAGTCAATAAAAGTTTTTTAAAAGTCTGTTAAGATAAAAACAGCTTCACCAAGATGTTAGAATACAAGAGAATAAAGATACAAGCATATTTGGTTCCTTTTTTCACTTTTATTTTCTTGTTGTTTTTTGCTTACCCTAGGAAGAAACTGCTACACAAATATTTTTAGGTACCTAAGAAAACAAAATATCTTTTTCAGCCTTATAGATTTGGTAACAAACATAAATTTAATTTCATCTCATTCAGAAGATTTTCTACTTTTAGTTGAAAATTAATTGCTTTGAAGGGGCAACTCTCTGGATTGGCTATCTTAATATTCTTGCTGTAGAGTTATACAGTATTATCTCATGCCTGATGCTGTGTCACTGTCCTCTAATTCCTGGTGTCTGGCTCCTACTCTTTTTCAGCCTTATCACGTAGAAACTGTAGACTGGAACCACTTTTTAAATGATCTCCTTTGGTTGCCTGAATAGCAGGGAAGATTTTTATTCATTTGCAGCAAGAAACTCAATCATTCTAGGTTCCAATTAGAGAAAGCCTAGGGGCCCTCTTTATTAAGATGAAACACAAATTGTATCAAGACTTGCTAAACCAGTTAATATTTTTATGGTTAAGCTTATTTTATTAAGAAGCTTGAACATTTTAAGTACTAATTGGAATATGTGTAGGCTATCTTTAATCGATGTGTAAACTCTAACCTCCATTTTGTTAAAATTGCATCTTACGGTGCTACCATTTTTTGCCACCTTGAAGATTTATCATTCAGAGTACAATCAAGAATGCTGCAATGTTCGGTGTCAGGAGTGACTTATACTGCTGTAATCTCCTGTTAACCATTTCATTTTTGCAGGTGTTTGTTCATTATTTCCTAAAAGAGAGAATTGTTATTTTAGAAAAAAGTTTTTTAAATACTGGCAACTTGAATAATTTTTCTAGATCTTTAACTTCATTTCTATACACAAAATTTTAAATATATATCTAAATTTAATTACATATTTACAGAGCCATGTGCTTTAAGATATGATTTAAAGTTTATGAACACTAACAGAGAAAAAATTGACAGTTTAGATTTGGGGAGTATAATTTTATGTATGGAAATGTATAGATATTTGCATATAATTATATCTGTGTGTTTAAATTCCAACTTATATATGAAGAAATATTGCCTCTTAATATAATAAAATACTTCTATTAAGCAGTATTTTAAGGATGAATTTTCTGAAATTCAAATTATCCTTAATGTAACTGTTATCTTAATGTTGGCCTTATGTGGCTTTGTAGAAAGGATGCAATTTCTAATTATTTCACTTACATGTAGTTAATCATAGTTTTATTGTGCCTGCTTTTTTGTTTAAAGAATTTTAAGGATGTCTATGGTTCAAGATTATCCAGTCTATCAGTTTTAAAATAAGAATTAGTAAATTCACATAACAACAAGCAAATGAGGAATATATGAAGAAAGTTGAGAAGTATTAATGGTTTGACTTTTATTAAAGATGCTATCAGAATGAGTTGTCTATATAATTGGATGATATAAATTATTGTATTATTCTAATGTTTTTAGATGACAAACTTTTACTAAAAAACTAAGTGACTTTTTTTACCATACTGCTGATCTACTTATTTTGATACAATTTACAATATTTATTATTATTTGGTTCACAACTTTTATTTCTTTTACAAAATTTTGTCAGAAAAAAATACATATTCTTCATCTTAGAAAAGCTGTGATAGTCATAGACACCACTTATCAAAACCTATGTTCTAATTGTATTCACGACAACAAAGCATAAGTTCAACGTTTTCACCAAAATAAACAAATAATTAAAGCTTTTTTGAAAATAATTTATAATGGTAAGATAAAATCATGTTTAAATTTAAAAATTTTGACATAGAAGAACTAGGAAAATATTCCTCATGTTAGAACACAAGGGGTAGTGGGAAAAGCATTGACTATGGATTCAGACCAGGGTTTGAATACATCTCTAATCTTCTATATTATTATCTGCATTATATTTTTAAAAGTGATACTCACCATGTTCTTACGAGGATTATAGTAAATCTACGTAAAGTAACTAGGACATTGTCAACACATGGTGATAGATACTAATAACCATTCTTATCATTAACAATTACATAAGACTGAACTCTTTGAAGACAGAAATTCATGATTCATTTATCCTTTCTTCCCTGAAAGCAGATTTTGAGAATTGTTTGCAAGTATTTGATTGAAGGAGAACTGTCAGTTTCTATGAGTTCAGTTTTTTCTTAGATTCCACATATAAGTGAAGTCATATAGTATCCGTCTTTCTCTGTCTGACTTTTCCACTTAGCATAATGCCCTCAAGGTCCATCCATATTGTCACAAATGGCAGGATTTCCTTCTTTTTTTTAATGACTGAATAGTATTCCATTACATTTGGAATTTATTTTCTTTATCCATTCATTTGTAAATGGACACTTAGGTCGTTACCATGTCTTGGCTATTGTAAATAGTGCTAAAATGGATATGGGTGCAGATACCTTTTTGAAACAATGATTTTTCCCCCCTTTGGATATATACCCACAAGTAGAATCACTGGACCATATGGTAATTCTATTTTTAATTTTTTGAGGAACCTCCATACTGTTCTCCATAGTGGCTGCACCAATTTACATTCCCACCACCAGTGTAGGAGAGTTCCCTTTTCTCCACACCCTCCCCAACAGTTATTACTTCTTGTCCTTTAGAAGGCAGCCATTCTAACAGGTATAAGTGTTATCTCATTGTGGTTTTGATTTTCATTTCCCTGGCTGTTAGTGATGTTGCACATCTCTTCATGTACCTGTTGTCCATTTGTATATCTCCTTTGTAAAAAATGTCTATTCAGATTATCTGTTTTTAATCAGGGTTTTTTGCTGCTGACTTGTATGAGCTCTTTCTTTATTTTGGATATTTACCCCTTATCTTATTTACCCAGACATAATATTTGCAAATAATTTTCTCATTTCATAGGCTGCCTTTTCATTTTTTAAGTTGTTTCTTTTGCTGTGCTGAAGCTTTTTAATTTAACGTGGTCCCACTTGTTTATTTTTGCTTTTGTTGTCTTTGCTTTTGGTGTTAAACCTGAAAAATCATCACCAAGACCAATGCCAAGGAGCTTCTTTCCTGTTTTACATTTTCAGGTCTTACATTCAAGTTTTTAATCCATTTTGAGCTGATGTCTATGTATAACGTAAAATAGGGGCCCAGCTTTATTCTTTTGTGTGTGGCACTTCAGTTTTCCCTGCACTATTTATTGAAGAGACTGTCCTTTCCCCTATTGTGTATTCTTACCTCCTTTGTCAAAAATTAATTGACCGTATATTCATGGGTTTATTTTTGAGCCTTCTATTCCGTTTATCTATGTGTCTATATTTTTGCCAATATCATACTCTTTTAAGTACTATATCTTTGAAATATCATTTGAAATCAGGAAGTGTGAAACCCCCAGCTTTTTCCTTCTTTCTCAAGATTGCTTGCCTATTTGGGGCCTTTTGTTGTTGCATACAAATTTTAGGATTGTTTGTTCTTTTTATGTGAAAAATGCCATTGGAATTTTGATAGGGATTGCATTGAATTTGTAGATTGCTTTGGGTAGTATAGACATTTAATATTAATTCTTTCAATCTATGAGCAAAGACCATCTTTCCATTTATTTGACCTCTTCAGTTTCTTTCATTAATGTCTTATAGTTTTCAGTGTACAGATCTTTCACCCCCTTGGTTACATTTTTTTCTAAGTATTCTATTCTTTTTGATGCAATTATAAAATAGATTTTCTTAATTTCTGTTTCTGATATTTCATTGTTGGTGTATAGAAATTCAATTGATTTTTGTCTATTGATTTTGTGTCTTGTAACTTTACTGAATTCATTTATTAGTTTTAAGAGCTTTTTAGTGGAATTTTTAGGGTTTTCTTTATATGCTATCATATCATCTGCAAATGAAGACAGTTTTACTTCTTCCTTTCCAGTTTGGTTACCAGTTATTTATTTTCCTGCTTAATTGCTCTGTCTAGGACTTCCAGTAAAATGTTGAATAAAAGTGGCCAGAGGCAGGGGTGGGGGATAGGGGAAATGGGTGAAGGTGGTCAAAAGATACAAAATTCAAGTTTTAAGTTCTGAGGATATAATGTATAGTATGCCAACTATAGTTAATAATACTGGATTGTATATTTTAAAGTTGTTAAGAGAGTAGATCTTAAAAGTTCTCATCACAAGAAAAAAAAGTAACTATGTGAGGTGATGGATGTTCACTAAACTTATTGTGGTAATCATGTGGCAACATTTACATATATCAAATCATTATGTTCTGCACCTTAAACTAGTGCAGTGTTGTGTGTCAGTTATATCTCGGTAAAGCTAAGGAAAAAAGAAAAGAAAAGAGATAACTTGCAGAAAAAAAAAACCTCTAGAGGGATGAGAAAGCAGGAAAGGTAAGGGGGAGAAATTTCAGGTGGTTTCAGGCAAAGCTGTGCCCCCACAATGGTGGCCCCAAATGCAAAGGTATAATTCCAGATACCTCTGTGGAAGGCTGCTCCAGTAGCCCACAGGCAATCCTCCAGAGAGCAGCAGGTATGAGACATTTAGCCACAGAATCTGGGCCGCAGGACCTATCTATCAGTGACTATCTATGACTATCACTATCACTATCAGTGACTACTATAGTGACTCAACTAATTAGCTCCTTAATACATGTCTGCTTAGTTAAGGAGAATAGAATAAAATTATAATTGCCATACCTCCAAAATCTTCTGAGTAAGTGCATTATGATTCTTTTGGTACCTTATAGAAGTTAGCACATAGTTATCCATGAAATGAGTGTTAAGTATTTATAAATTGCTTAATTAATTCACAGAATATGTAACATTTCATATGTTTTTTGTTTATATGCATGTTTAAATCCAATAGGCCAGAACCTGTTTTGTGGACAAAGGATGGCGGAGAATTACCAGATCCTGACCGAATGGTTGTGAGTGGTAGGGAGCTAAACATTCTTTTCCTCAACAAAACGGATAATGGTACATATCGATGTGAAGCCACAAATACCATTGGCCAAAGCAGTGCAGAGTATGTTCTCATTGTACATGGTGAGTACCTTTTGACATTATTATACATGCAAGAATGACCTGAAAAACTGCTTAAATTTATCAAAATCTTTAGAATAATAAACAAATTTAAATGGGTTTTCTTTTTCTTCCACAAGGACTTCTCATAAGTGTAAATATCTTCATGATCCACAATTAATATGTTTCAAGTCAAACTAATAAAATAAAATTACAGCCTATACTCAAAATAAAATTTATATTTGTGAAAGATTTTTTAATTATAAATATACTGTATAATATTTGGTGGTGAATAGTAAATCATATTAATGGTTTTCTTTACGTTTTATGCTTTAAATTATAAATCAGAATCATGAAAACAATATTTTCCCTGAGTTAATTTTGGTAGTATTATCATAAAAATATGCTTTATAATCACTATTACTAGTTTTACAAAGAGAGATAGCATGTAATCGAGATGTAGCAAAGACAGAGGTGTACAATACTAGTGAAAACTGTACTAATTTCTTATGAACAATAATTTGAAACACCCACAGACATTTTTTTCTCCTCTGCAATAATCTCACAATTTGAGTAAATATAGGAAAATGGCAAAAAGACATGCCAATACCCAAGATTAAAAAGAATCTATGTTTTTCCTAAACTCCAAAAGCCAGGACATGGGTTGTTCATGAGGTAGCTTTAACATATTGTTAGACGAAGATGAACTTTTCTGAAATCGATAAATATCACAATGAACAAAATTAGTCAGGTTTCTTTATTACAAGACTTCTCAGAGTTTATTTATAGGGTACAATGTGAATCTCCAAGAGAAAAAAGCATTAGAGAATGTAAGATTTTTCTCATATAGTTCACCAAGAAAACTTTTTTTAAGACTAATGTTGTGTTCTACACAATATTACAGTATTTGAATGAGTACTGTGTAAAAATTACACAATGCTGTAATAAATCCAATGGATCTTAGAAATCCTGAAGGGAGTACATTTATTTGAAATCTTTCTCATGAACCTAAGTATAAAATAACTGTAAGAAGCATGGGTTAATTTTATACCTTTCCAAAAAGGAATTTGGGGGATAAAGTCTAATTCTTTGTAAAGGGATTTAATTTTAGGGGAAAAATAATCCCATTTGTGTTTTTTTCCAAGATGTTTACTTTTTTATGATACAGGCCAAAATTGGAGAAAGAATAATGTATTAAATCAATTTACAACTTTATTTTCAAATTGCCTTAGTGTCTACCATTTCTCAGTTCTTAATAACACTTTTGTTCTTGAAGGCAAACAAAGTCTTGCATTGAATAGACTTTCCACATATAAACATCTTGAAGATAACAGAGCTGAGAGAGTAATTTCTAGTATCTCATGAATTGTGCAAATTCCAGCTTTTGGGAAAGATCAGCCTAATCAAATTAGACTGATAAATTGGAATTAAATGTAGTAACCCCCTGTAGATAAACCCTACCAGGCTCACTGCCAGAGAGAATATAACAACCACTGAGTGTGTCAAGAAGATAAGTTAGATCCTTAGAACAGGATCCAGGAATAGCTTTCAGTTCGTGCTGACCTGGATGTTTAGGTCTTGCAGTCACGGAAATGAAGTCTGATTCACCCTCAACTTGATAAGCGCTTGTCTCACCTAACAGTTTTGGAACCTGGGGCATGTTGCATAGCATGTCACATTGTGTTGAAAGCAATATGACATAAAAATATAGAGAATTAGAAGGGAAGTGACAGAAAAAATAATATACTTAGATGAAAAGTATGTTATTTGTTTTTTTAAAGTAATTCAAGTGGGGAAAATTCATATGTTTTCTCAGTGTTTGCAAGCTAGCCAACAGCATGATTTCCTAAATAGCCAAGCTACCTTTAGGTAGTTGGCAGTTGACATATTTCTAATAGATACTTTTCTGAGCACTTTGTAAGAAGTCATTTTTGGCTTTGCTTTTTGAACTACAATTCATCAAAAGCACCCCATAGATTAGTGCTATTCATGCTACTAGATAAATTGCTGTGAAGTTCAACAGTGGTTTACCTAGGATTATTGACACAAGTAATGAGAGGCTCGATGAAACAGTGAAACCATATTACACTGTGTTTAAAAAGGGCTCCAATTGGGTTCATTACAAAATAAAGGGTTTTTTTTTCCTCCTTTGCGCACAGGGTATAATGTTTCATTAGTCACTGGTTGTATAAATATAAAAAGCTACTCTCTTCTGTTAATGGTTTGGCTGTTTCAAAACCCAACTAAATGGTGAAATTTGAGTGGTATTTCAATCTATAATGAATGCTGTATGCATTTCGGAATTAAGTGATAAGTGATCATTTGTGAGAACTTTACACTTTTATCTTTTACACCAAGTTTGATTTTACATTAGCTGTGATAATTTAATATAGCTCTAGCACAGAAGGGCCTTTCATGGGCTGAGACTGTCTCTGATTCTACCACAGTTACCTAGGTTCTATTGATTCTTAACTTGATGGAGGTCAGAGCACTTTGCTGTGAAATCATCTGCTATCTAGGTACCATCCTAATGGTTAGATTTTATTCTTTGGGTGTCAGTGGAAGTGCATTATTTAAATGTTTTCACATTTAATTGTTAACAGCACTGACTTTGTATGTCATGGACACTGGAGTGTTCCCCTCCACCCTAACCCCCATGATACCTTTGCAAATTTAAACATTACAATTTCAGATGATAATTTGAAACTGCCAGTCTGGTTCTCACTCTCAATGAAAGGCCTAACAAAATTCAGTACATGTATACAAATATATGTAAGATAAAACATTACACTTTTGGGGCTTCCCTGATGATGCAGTGGTTGAGAGTCCGCTTGCCGATGCAAGGGACACGGGTTCGTGTCCCGGTCTGGGAAGATCCCACATGCCGCGGAGCAGCTGGGCCCGTGAGCCATGGCTGCTGAACCTGCGCATCCGCAGCCTGTGCTCCACAACAGTGAGCGGCCCGCGTATCGCAAAAAAAATAAAAATTACACTTTAGAAACGTTTGCACTGTAGAGATTCCATTAGGAAAAAAGGTACCATTTTTTCATTAACAAGCTGAGCAATGGAAAAATTAATCTGTTAAATTAGTAGCCATAGTGATACTATTAATTCCTGTGAGCACAGTAGTTTTTTGTTTTTTACTTCTGTATAAAAAATATTGAAGTTACTCTCATGTTATTATTGTTATCATGCTATTTATTTCTTTTGAATGGCTAATTACTTCCATATTAATGGTCTTGAAATATGCTGTTCCATTGCTGTTTTTACTATTTGGAGAACTCAGATCAAAGGAGATATTCATTCATTCACCAAATAAGTATTTAGCATTTATTCACTGAGTGCAAATGCACTATAGGAGCAAAGGTGAATATCACTCAAGAAGCTTAGAGTTAAACATGAATGATAAGCATTCAAGTAAGTATAATACAAAAATCAAAGAGTTATAGGTGTATGGATATACAATGATGTAGATATTCATAGTTTGTGACAACATGGTCCAATTGTCTGGAATTACAAAAAAATAGTAACACAGTACTCCTGGATTATTTATAAACAAATGGCATACATCATAAATAGAAGTACCCACCAGTGCCAGGAACATAGATAAATAATAAATCAGAGTATTATTATTATACTATTACTAGTAGTCTTATGATACCTTAAAGCAATCTCAGTCCAGTGCTCTGGTACATAATTTACCCAAAGGTTGTGTACAATTTACTGCCCATGGTCTTCCCTGAATGGTACCCAGAGCATAAATTAAGTTATCCCTATTGAAGAATGAGAAAATTCTATATTCTTGTTAACCAAGCAATAGAGAAGATCATTAAAAATCAACACTACAGCAAATTAGTAATATAGAGTGAGCAGGATAAAAGTAATAATCACCCTTGTTTCTCTGATGCAACATCAAGTTGAGAAAGTTTAGGTAAAATATCCTCTCCTCAAAGAAATGCTACCCAGATCTCCATCTTTTAGTATAGAAATCATAGAAGATACCTATTCATTACACAAGGAATGGCTGCAGAGAACTGAGAATGACCTGAGACTAATCTTATTTTGTGGTTGGGGATGATTCAAGTCCTTATATTTATTTGTCATCCACTTATTTAAAAAGTATTTTTTTGGAAGTGTCAGAACTTTATAGTACCTGGGAAATTTTGAAAGAATATCTATGAAGAGTGGAAAACATAAATTACCACTTCCCCCCAAATCCTATACTTCTTCCTCCTCAACTATCCCAATGCCTTTGACCTCCCTTCACTCTCATGCTAGAGAAAGGCATAACCACGCCTCAGAATACATATGGAAGATGGACAGTGGTGCTGGAACTCTTTTACTATCATCTGCCCTCCCCAGAATTCGGGAAGAAATACAGTAATACAAGTAGAAAAAATGAGTAACTTATTTCTTCTTCTGCCAGTAGCTGTACTAACTATGGCAGGTCCACACTGTAGAGAGGAGTAAGGGGGAGTCCAGTGTGAGCTTCAGTGGAGAGGACACTCCACTTAGGACCCATCTCAGGGCTGTCTCACACAGTCATGGCAGAGTTGAGATGCACTATTCCAGAACTTTGTTCATGATACTCACCATCTCTCTTCAAATTTACTTTTCATATTACCATAGTAACCCTTATATGAAATTTAAAATTATCTTACCACTACTTTTATTCCATTACTTCACTGTTTTTGACTTACAGAAATAAGCTTTTATAACAATTCATTACTTCTTCATTATCTTAACTCTTGCTATTCTTATTTTGAATAAAATTATCCACTATGCACCTTTCCATATTTTTACTTTTCTTTATATGTACATATTTAGCTTTTTCTAGCAAATTTCATATGTAGGACCATATAAAAACAAGTAAAATTTTTCATAACTAGTATTATTATTATAGTAGAAAGTGAAATAGTATAAAAAGCTTGTTTATGTAATGCCAATCAGTTTACTGACAGTTGCTGACTTTGTATTCCTAAAATATCACTTGACAGTTATGGTTTGTGTTATATATTTATTCA